AACATCAAGCTTTGGTCGAAAATATCAAGCCAAAGACAGCTGGAACAGCTGCACAACAAATATCTGCCCAAAACTGCTTTATGCCATCTGTGGCCGGCACTTGACCATAAATGGCCGGCAGGAGTCACTCTTGGACAGAATGGGGCCGACATTGGCCATTCATGGCCGGCACACTCCCGTAGAGGCCGGCAGCAAAAATCAGTCCTAGTCCCCGACTTGAAGCAAGCCTAACTCCTTCATCTGGATGCCTTTTCAGGTCATTCTTGTGTGCAAATTGAAGCCCCGGAAGTAAGCTTTCCAATGGTGAAGCCTTACATCAAAATTCTAACTGTGCTGAGAGATATCCCTCTTGTAGTGAAGACTGCTCAGTTTCGATCCAACCGGATTGATGCCCAACTTCTAACAACCATATCTCCCCCATCCAGACTCGGCTTTAGGAGATTCTTTAGTGAAAAATGAAGCCCCAGAAGTCTTGTTTCCAATGGTGGTGGCCTCATAGCTGAAATCCAAGTGTACAAATGGATATGCCCAATTTAGTGAGGGCCACTCGACTCTCTCTTAACGGTTCATGCCCATCTTCTTCCCCAACTTGGTTTCTTCCCTCTCCTCCTCTTTTCTTGAGCTCCAAACCCCTAGATAAGGTGTTTTGAAAGATTTTTCAAAAGAGTTCATCTCTCCTTCATTCATTTCCACTTTGTCCTTGCTCAGTTTACCGAAAAGCGCGACATTTGAGAAATGCGAGCATTGGAACATCGTAGGAACCTATTTTCAAAAATGTTTTGGAAGAGAGAGTTTTAAGGTCTAAAAACCATTCAAAATAGTTTTGGTCCAAAAAGGGGTGTGAAGTTGGGATTTGACTCTCTCCTTGCCGAAGAAATTGAACCCTTGCACTACACAACTTTCACCACCAAGTAAACTATTAGTAGCGCCCAAGTCTTAAGGGCGGTCAAAAATGGGGTGTCTATACTTGCCTTCAATTGTCTCTGTTTGCACTCGCCTTGATCTCTGAAAATTATGCTAATCTCCAGATTGCCTTTACTTCAAAACAGGGACCTTATGGTGGGCTGCCAGTCACTTAAGGGGATTGTCAGCCACTTCAACTGGCCGGTCAGCTAGTTGAAGTGGCTGGTCGGCCAGTTTCTGTTCCAAACTTCTGGTTTTGCTGCAACAGAGAACAACAAAGCCAAGACAATGCATTTACAAGAAAATGTATGTACTGCCACCCTCCTTATCATGTCTCAAGCTCAAAGGAGTGTGACACTCGGCTCTCAAGCAACCAACCAAGCATCTCAATGCATGACGGTTTGAGAACTAAGTTTGTACAAACTTAGTGAATGCAAAAATAAGACTCGAAGAGCCTCCACCCTATCATACATGATCAAGGGAGACGGCGACCAAGAAATGTGACACGTTTCATCACTTGAAGTATGAAACGTCCCACATTTCTCGTGTTTGGATTAACATTCGATCTAAACACATGCAAGGCAAACAATATACTTATCTTGCACAAGTTTTACTTTACTCAATTCTTGTTTACACATTTTACATTACCAAACCATTCTTTAATAAGTTAAGTCCAATGTGCAAGTCCTCTAATGAGAGGGGTCAACCAAAACGGTGGTTTAGGACATGAGAGGGATCATGCCTTTGACTAGGAGGAACCCTCAAAAGAGGGTTAAAGCCATTTGAGCACAAACCCTACCTCATGCTTAAACACAACCTTAAAGCCAAACAACCCTCAAAACAAATTGAAAAATGAAGAAATGGGGGAGGTTGCAGATGTTTTAGTGCTGAAATGGCATGGCAAATAAGACAATAACATGCAAACAACTCATGTAGAACATGTTAAAAGTCAAGAACAACAAGACTAGTGAAGGACACAACACTAGAGGCATGCAATACAATGCTCAAATGACCAAACCAGCCCAAAACAGAGCTACAACATGCCAAAATAGTGGCCAAAATATGTTGAGATTAAGGCATGGAAAGCAAGAAAAACATGCTCATACAATGGCTCACAAACAAGGTATCAAAGCACAACCCTCAAAAGCATTGAAAGAGCGGAATATGTGAGAATGTGACAACACTATATGCTCTGAAATCACATGCAAAATGAGACTATAGCATGCAAACATCACAAGTAAAGCATGCTAGGAGTCTCATAACACAAAGCTAGTGAAGGCCAACTACACTATAGCTATACAACGCAAAGCATATATGACCAAGACCATCCAAATCAAAGTTAAAGCATGCTAAAACATGAGCAAAAATGTGCTGGAGCCAAGCTAACACATGCTAGAATGATGGACTAACTCATTAGGCATGTTAAGCTAGTAAGCAAAATTACACTACAAGTGCAAGATGCAAGCAACAAGTGACCAAACCAGCCAAAAACAAAGTTAGAACAGGTCTGAAAAGTCACAAAAACATGCTCAAAATAAGCTAACACAAGCCACAAAAATAGGCTACTTTGTAGTGCTAACAAGACATGGCATGGAGAGACAAGGAGGAGAGGCCACCCCCTCCCATTTTGGACCTCAAAACATGGTTTTTGTCACTGAAAAACCTCTGAGTTTCAATGGTAAAAAGGGCCAAAAAGTTTGGTTTGAAAGCCTTGAAAGATGACACAAAAAGCTTATACAAGCTAAGGACCAAAAGGGAGAGACAACCCCCTAACACAAAATAGGCCTAAACCACCACTTTTAGGACTGAAAAACAGAGATTTTCTCAATTCAAAACCCCCCAAAAACAGTGTAGAAAGATGGCAAAACAATAATGCACAAAGAGCTTAAAAGGGATAAGAGGTTACCTTTGAAGCACAGCAGCAAACAACCCCAATTCTGAGCTAAAACCACTTTTTGGAGCTCAAACAAAGTCCCAAGCTATCTCAGCCCAAAGATGATCAACTTTGGTTAAGGGTCTCTTTGCAAAAGTGTAGAGCATTCTAAGCTTAAGGCACAAAACAAGAAGAGAGAGAGGCTTCTAGAGAGAGAGGCTGAGCTTTTGCTCACAAATTTTCTAGAGAGAGAAGATTTTTTCAGAGAGAGAAGCTCCCAAAATTGCTAACCTTCTCAAAATGTTCTAACCCCTTCAAAATGAGAGAATGGCCTCCACATATAGCAAAATACAAGCTCAGGTCGAAAATATCTGATTTGGGACAGCTGGAGGAGTGTGAAAATAGCTGGAGGAGAAATATCTACAAAAAATCTGAGTTTTGGACAAAAGTGGCCAGTCAGCTACTTCAACTAGCCAACCGGCCACTTTTCTGGCCGATAGCAAAAATTTACTCTGCAGGTCAAATTTCAAATGGGCATATCTCTTTCATCTGGACTTCTTTTTAAGTCATTCTTGTGTCAAAATTGAAGCCCCAGAAGTAATCTTTCCAATGGTGGAAGCCTCACATCAAAATTCCAGGTATGAAAAAAGTTATGCACCTTTTTGTGAAGCCGCTTAGTTCCGATCCTACCCGGATTCATGTCGAACTTCTCCCAAACTAGTTTTCTTCTCTCCTCTCCTCTTTTCTTCAACCCCAAACCCCTAAATAAGGTTTTTTTGAAAGATTTTGCAATGAGCTCACCTCTCTTTCATTCATTTTCACTTTGTCCTTGCTCGTTTTACCGAAAAGCGCAACATTTATCAAAATGCGAGCCTCGGAACATCGTACGAACTTTCTTTCAAAAATATTTTGAAAAAGAGGGTTTTAAGGTCTAAAATCTTTTGGTCAAAATCATTTTGGTCCAAAAATGGGGTGTGAGGTTGGTGAGGCGCTTAGTTTGGATAGGGATGAAGCACTTGAGAAGTTCATCCATATCTAACTAAAAATTAGAGATAAGTATTGTGTTTGAGTCCTATGAAGTGAGACTTCTAGGGGACGAGGGCACTATTAATAGTAAGGCACCCCCATGGGTCTAAGATATGCTTTTACATATGTGCTGTTGCTTGAGTTGAAATCTTGTGAGATTGTTGACTGACTTGATCATCGGAGTGCTCCCAAGTGGACGAGCCACCGTGGTATTCTTGTCTTCTTGTTGGCAGGTACTTGGTTTAATCTATTCTGCCTCGTGCTTTCCAGCTAAGTTTCCTATTTGGTTGTGAGGCGGAAATTAACACCCTCAATTTGACGCCGTCTGAGGGAACTTAGTAAAGGATAGATGGCCAACCCTGGACAAGAGGTGAGAGTAGGGGACGACATACATAGTGGGGAAGAGGTGTTTGTGGATCCAAATGTTGGAGGAGGAAACAATGATGAAGAGGTGCAAGAAGTAAATCCTAAAGCAAACAATGCTGCAAGGGGCCGCAATGGCTTGAGAAGAGGCAACCATGAAGAATATTACAATGATGGTGACTTCCAAGTATGGAAAGAAAAGTGCTTGAGAAGAGATAATGAGCTGAAGGACCTGGAAAATAAATTGACGGACTTGAAAACCATGGTGAACTTCATGATACAGAACAAAGTAATGCAGCCGGCGTTGCCCTTATTGGCAACACTGACTCCAGTAACAAACACTGGCACCCAAAAGGAGGGATAGGCCGCAGTGCCAACACCGGAAGCAGTGCACCAAAGAGATTGAAATCAATCGATAGTCGAGCTCCTAGGCGGACGAAGGAAGACTTGCGAGACTACCTGCAGAGAAAGAGGCAGGGCGCTAAGGTCACGTCCATCGCTTAGTTGTGAACGCCTTTCTCGGTAGAGTTGGATGCGTTCGAGGCACCGAAGAGATTTAGTATCTTGAGGTTCCTGATCTATGATAGTAAGTCAAACCCAAACTTCCATATTGGTTTATATTTAAATGCAATGTCTCTGTGGAGTGGAAACGAGTAGTTGTTATGCAAGGTGTTTCCTTCAACATTTGGGAAAATAGCATCAGATTGGTTTCTCAAACTACCGAAAGGATGCATCAAGAATTTGGAAGGATTGGCTGAGATATTTGTGGCCAGGTTTGTTACGAACAGATTGCAACTACTCAGGGTTGACTCCTTATTGGCCCTTAAGCTTGACGATGGCGAAATCCTTAGGACTTACGGCAAGAGATACTACGAGGTTTACAATCACATATTGGCTTAACCAGGAACTTGTAGTCGTGTCTTTCAAGAACGGCTTGGAGAACGATTGCCTACTTCGGCAATCCCTTGCAAAGATCCTCCCGAAGAGCATGGAGGACCTCATGGCAAGGATCAAGAAGTATGCAATGGCAGAGGAAGACAAGAAAGCAAAGAAGACAAGTGTAATGAAGCAAGAGAAGAGAAACAGATCACCAAAGCGTAGTAGGGGAAATAACAGCACCGATAGGCTAGAACATGGATTGAGGGCTATGCAGGCCGTGAGCATAGTTTTCAAGATCCCGATTTGTAGGATCTTGGAGAGGATCAGGAATCAGCCCTACTTCAGGGCATCGCAGAAGACCATGGGAGAGTGCATGGGCAAGAACCCTGGGAAGAATTGTGCCTCCCATGATAAAAATGGGCACATGACTCAAGGTTTTCGGGCTTTGAAGCAACACCTAGAGGACCTGGTCAGGTAGGGACACCTGAGAGACTTGATAGATGAAACAAAGACAAGAAAGGAACATGCAAAGCTGGCCCAGGCGGCGATAGTAGCACCACCACCCCTAACGCCACAGGCAGATGGACCATGGGTTATTAATGTGATCCATACGAAGGTCAATGCAAATGACATCTACAATATGTCTTCCGAGTCCAACAGAATAAGCCCCGAATGGAAGGACATCTAGGGTTGATGATATTTTTCACAGACAAGGATCTAGATATGGTGCAGCATCCACACAACGATGCATTAGTGGTGAGACTGAAGATTAGAGATTGCTAGGTAAGGTGTATATTGATCAATCAAGGAAACTCCTTTGACATTATGTATGCCAGATGTTACAAGGAGCTCGGCTTTCAAAAAGATGATTTGGAGCAATCCGACAGCCCCATGGTCGGATTTAATAGGACCCTGACGTGGCCGCTAGGAATCACAAACCTGGAGATTCAGGCAGGAACAAAGATAGTAACTACAGAGTTTACTGTGATAGACACCCCTTCCCTATACAACATCATCTTAGGAAGGCCTTAGCTGCATGTTATGAGGGTAGTTCCCTTAACTTTGCACCTGCTACTGCGATTCCCAATTGAGTTTGGGATTGAAGAAGTGAGAGGAGACCAAGTGCAGGCAAAAAATTGCTCCATGGCAGAAAATAAGTATACCTGTAGTGTCAGAGAAGCAGAGATGACATAAGTAGAAGACGAAAACAAAGAGGTCTTGGATGATGTTGGTATAGAACCTGTCGAAAAAAGCCATGAGCCTTTGAAAAAGGTTTTGGTATAAGAAGGGGACGAAGAACGATTCTTCCTCCTCGGCTCGGGCTTAGCCAAGGAAAAAGAAAGAAAAATTGAAAGCATTCTTGAGAGAAAACATAGAGGTCTTCGCCTGGACGCCGTACAAGATGTTGGGGATCAGCCCCGAGGTCGCCTGTTATAAGCTCAACATGGACAGGTCAGCCAAACTCATGATCTAGAGAGCTAGGCAACCAGCCTTGGTCTACGTGAAAGCAATCGAAGAGGATGTGGAGAAACTGCTGGAGGCACAGGTAATTTGAGAAGTGAACTACCTCACTTGGCTGTCCAACGTAATGGTAGTCAAGAAAAAGAATAGCCAGTGGAGGGTTTGCGTGGACTTCACTAGCTTGAATAAGGCTTGCCTGAAAGATTGTTTTCCCTTGCTAAAGATCGACCAACTCGTGAATGCCACATCTGGGCATGGAAGGATGAATTTTCTTGATGCATACAGGGGCTATCACCAGATAACCATGTATGCATTGGATGAGGAGAAGACAACATTCATCACTCCGAAAGGACTTTACTATTATAGAGTGATGTCCTTTAGACTAAAGAATGTAGGAACAACGTACCAGAGGTTAGTAACCACGATGTTCAAACATTTGATCAGAAATACCGTGAAAGTCTACATAGACGATATGATTGCGAAGAGTAAGGAATCTACAGATCATCTAGCTGATCTGAAAGAGGTTTTTATCTTGAAGGCATATCGGCATCGTTTGAATGCCTTCAAGTGTGCTTTTAGAGTAGGATCTGGTAAGTTCCTGGGATATTTGGTGACTAAGAGAAGAATCGAAACAAGCCCCGATCAGATCAAGGCCATCATTGATCTAAAGAGCCCGACAATAGCAAAAGATGTCCAAGTTTTGACCTATAAGGCAGCTGCACTGAACAAATTCATTAGCCGGAGTTCGGAGAAGTGCAGGCTGTTCTTCCAGTTGCTGAAGAAGGCCATAGATTTTCTATGGACAGATGCATGCGAAGTCGCCCTGGCCGATTTGAAGAGGTATTTGACAACCCCACATATGCTGTCGAATCTAGTTCCAAGAGAGGAATTATTTTTGTACCTGGCAGTCTCGGACCATGTTGTTAGTGCCGTGGTTATTTGAGAAGAAGAAGGCAAGCAAAAGGCAATGTATTATGTGAGCAAAATCCTAGCAAGCGTAGAGACGAGGTACTTACCTCTAGAAAAACTGACACTCGCACTAGTAATGGCATCAAAAAAACTAAACCATTACTTCCAAGCTCACAAAATTGTAGTACTCACGGAGCACCCATTGAAGTCTCTATTGCAACATGGAGACTTGTTAGGCAGAATAACACGATGGGCTGTAGTTCTAGGTCAATACGACATAGAATACAGGACAAGGATAACAATCAAAGGTCAGGTTTTGGCCAACTTTGTTGCTGAGTTTACATCGAGCGCAAGCCCAAAACCAAGACCTGTGAACCTCGGCCTAGGGTACGCAGAAGAGCAAGAGGAAACACAACTGGCAGCAGAGAACCCCAAGCCAACAAAACAGAAGTGGAAACAAAAGAAGCCAAAGCCTTGTGATATTTACATCGGCAAGACCTTTGGTCTCTTTGTTGATGGTAGCTCAAACCGACAGGAAGCGGGGGCAAGAGTGGTGCTAGTTTCACCAGATGGCCAAATGGTAGAACAATCAATCTAACTAGGGTTCAAGGCCTCAAATAATGAAGTAGAGTATGAGGCATTGATTATCGGATTGAAACTAACAGCAGCAGTCAAGGCTGATGAGGTGGTAGTCTACTGTGACTCCCGAGTCATCGTGAACCAAGCAACCAGAGAATACACAACCTGAGATGAGAAGATGATGGCCTATGTCAAAGAGGTTATCAAGTTATTAGCACAGTTCCAGAGTTTTCGGCTATATTAGGTTTGCCGAAAGGATAACAACCATGCGAATATGTTGGCCAACCTTGCCAGTACAATAAAATTAGACACGCTGAGAACAATTATGGTGGACTACCTATTAGGCCCAAGCATGGAACCTTTGATAACAGAATACGATACAATATGCATAGAGTTGGGTCCGAGCTGGATGGATGTCCTAGTCAAGTTTATCAGAGATGGCCAACTGCTAAAAGACAAAAAGGAGGCACACAAGATTAGGCTAAAGTCAGCAAGATTCTGCTTGTCAGTAGAAGGCCACCTGTATAGGAGGTCCTTCACTGGACCTTTATTGCGTTGTGTGCACCCTTCCCAGGTAGAAGACTTCTTGTACGAGATCTATGAAGAAGTTTGCTGAAGCCATGTAGGGGGCAGATCTCTTGCCCACAGGGCTATTTCACAGTGGTACCGATGGCCTTATATGCAAAAAGTTATAGAAGCCTATGTCAAGAAGTGCGATAAGTGTCAAAGGTTTGCACCTTTGATATACCATCCTGCTGGAGATCTGAATCCAATATCCAGTCCTTGGCCATTTGTTCAGTGGGACATGGATCTTATTGGGTAACTGCCCAAGGCAACTGGACAGAGGAAATACCTGCTAGTAGCCACGGACTACTTTACAAAGTGGGTGGAAGCTGAATCTCTGGCTAAAATTTAAGATGTGGATGTGAGGAATTTCATATGGAAGAACATAATTACTGGATTCGGGATCCCAAGAGCCATCGTGGCAGACAATGGCACCTAGTTTGACAGTAAGTTGATCAAGAACTTTTGCAAGAAGTACAAGATTAAGAACTATTACTCAACTCCTAGCTTCCCTCAAAATAATGGCCAAGTCGAGGCCTCTAACAAGACCATCTTGGATGGAATCAAGAAGACATTGGATGCTACTAAGGGCAAGTGAATAGAGGAGTTACCCAATGTTCTATGGACATATCGCACTACACCGAGAAGATCTACTAGGACATCACCATTTGCCATGGCCTATGGCACTGAGGCCATTATACCACTTGAGATCGGTATTCCTAGAGTCAGAACTCAAGAAGTAGAGAACAAAACGAATGAGGCATTTTTAGCCAGAGATTTGGACTTGATTAAATAAAGGAGCGATAGAGCAGCAATTCAGCTAGAGGTATACCAGTAGAGAGACTTGCCAAAGCATACAACAAAAAGGTGAACCCCAAGGAGTTCCAAATTAGGGAGCTCGTCCTAAGGAAGGTAGTCGGTAACAAAAAAAGATCCCAGGGAGGGTAAACTTGGCCTAAACTTGGAAAGACCGTATAAAATCATCTTAGCTGCCAGCAATGGCATATATCAACTAGAAGACAGTGATGGTAAGGAATTGCCAAGACCATAGAGTACTAGCAATCTAAAGTTCTTTTGTCATTAATTTTTTTGAGTCGCTTTATGTAATCTAAATGATTTTTAGCTAAAGTATAGATTAATAAAACACTAGTCTGATTTTGTTCTTTACAAAATGTTGTTGAAATTCGTAACTGATAAATAAGACAGAAAAGTCTTAAGCCAATGTTCCAAAGATGAACAAGACTTTTAACTTAGACTTGCTAGGATGGTAGAATTGAACTAAGTTAAAGAGACGTTTCCATGAGAAACAAGGCGAAACCAGCCACGGCTTGGCTAGTTTGTATGAAAAGCAGAGGTAGATAGTACTTTCGGTGTACTAAGGTTAAGCCTTAAGTGTTTTGTTTAGGTAAGCTAAACACAATGAGCTTGGTCATAGATGTCTAAGTCAAACTTAGACAAGATTCAGACGATGTATTCTTAAAGTGAACCTAAGTGGTACTTAGATTTACATTAGGGGGCAGGGAGGATGAATAAGTCAAGTGTCTGACACTCGTAAAAAAAAATTAGAAAATTCTTATGAATTGAAGAAGTTTGAGATGTTTGATAATAGTTCTATTCGAGATGATTTTTTGTCAAGATGTCATACTTGAAAAATACTCATCTCTTGTGTCTTACCTAACTTTGCTAGGAGATTCTGTAACCAAGTCATCTCCTTCCCAGCTTCAGTAATAGCAACATACTCGGCCTCTGTTGTAGAAAGGGCCACAATCTTCTGTAACTATGAAATCCAACTCATTGCTGTACCACCCAATGGGTAAACATAACCAGTAGTACTCTTTCTGTTATCCATATCACCAGCCAAGTCTGCATCAACATAACCATGTAACCCGATGCCAGTTCGTCTGAAACAAAGTGCGATGTCTGTAGTACCACTCAAGTATCTAAGGATCCACTTCACTGCCTCCC